GGAGCCACACTGACAGGATGCTGGACTGGACGGAGATAAGGTCTGACCCAATAAATAGCAGTTATGTTGAGCCTTTAAAGGTTCTGGCAGTGCCCCCACAGCCAGGGCCAGAGGCAAACAAACTCATGGACCCCGGGGCTGGTCAAGACCCCTCTCCCCACCCTGGTGCTGCTGCCTGCAGGGAGCAGGGCTCAGAGCCGCCGCTAGGAAGCAGCTGCCGCAGTGGCGAGGCTGGCGGAGGGAAGGGGAAGTGAAGGGAAGGGAGGCAGACAGGGCCCTAGGGATGTGCCTAGTTTGCTTATGCATGAATTCAGCCCTGCCCAAAGCTTATAGGTGGCAGAAGGCTGGGGCTTAGCCCCCCCAAACTAATTTTGCAGCAGCCAGCGACAGCACCAGCACCACGGCACTGCCGTCCCACAGCACCCAGCGCTGCTCCTCCAGCACCGCGTACAGCACCAGCGCGCGCTGGGCCCGCAATAAACCTGCAGGGGCGAGAGTCAGCCCCCCCCCCAATAATATTTATTTAGCTCCCCCCAATAATATTTTTCCTGCCACCAGCACCACAGCCTGGTTGAAATCTCTGGTTTAAAAGCAGCAGATTCACTAAGTCGAGTCCAATACTCTTGATGCTGTGTTGCAACTGCATTGGTTCGGTATAAAGAAAATGCGCAGTCCTTCAAAGCAGCTTATGGGGTGAAGTTCCAGGCTCACTCTTCTACCTGTGAGCTGCCCTGTGGAGGTGAGATGTGTATGATGTAGGCATCATGTTGTGGTATGTTAAGGAAGGTATTATGGACTGGGTAGTGATGTGTTTGAATATATTCTGATGTCCAACATTGGATCAGACTTTCAGGAATGCATGATTTAATCAGGAAAACAGAGCCCAGTGTCATGGTGGAAGGTACTAAGCCACAGAGGTTGGAGGCCAGCCTTTTCGGTGAGCATGTCACAAATTAGCCCTCACCAGTCCCAGGTGCCACTCCTCTGCCTCGTTGTCTCATCTGCTGCTCTGCTTTCTGCTTCCTGACCTATCTGCTGCTGTGGTACCTGCCCCCTCTCACACCCACAGGTGACCCGTGTCATTTGTTGCATGCACATATTGGTCAACCCTGCCTTAGACAAAGGAAAGGAGCTAGGAAAGGTGGGAGAGTCACAGCAAGGAGCCTGGTATACCAGTCACCTGGCTCTAGTATATCTGAGAATGGGCTGAAGGAAAACAAGGATGGTAGAAGAAGGTTTTGTGTTTTGGAAACAGTCAGAGAGGTTTATATAAAAGTCAGGGGCTAGATCTGATCAATTTCTGGAGCTCAGAAGAAGATGTAATGAGAAATCTAAGGGGATTAAACAGGGGTCCTTGGGAGTGTGAGTTAGTCTGTTGCATGGGACAGCAAGTCCTTCTCTAGCCTGGTTGTAAGTACAGGCAGTCCTTGGACTTACAACACAATTGGTTCCTGAAAAACCGCGTCTCAAGTCAAAACGTTGTAACTCAGAACCGATTTTCTCATAAGAAACAATGTTATAAATGGGGGATTGGTTCCTGAACCAAGGCCCGATATTCTGTTTTTGTGCGGGCCGGCTCCCAGTGCCGCCCTCACTGGGCGCGAGCCGGGCCCGTCTGTGTGCACGCGGGCTGTGGCCGGCAGCCCGGGCACGTGGGGCCGGAGAAAAGTCGCAGGGCGGAGCAGTATGCTCGAGCTAGAATCAGTCACGGAGGCGTAATGGTTGATTGAAAAGATTATTTACTTACACCGGAGATGGTCACGGTGCAGGCTGGACAGTTTCCCAGGTACAGCTCCGCTTCCTTCCTCGTTGGAGGACTCTAAAACTCCGTTCCCAGGATCCTCGGAGTGGTTCAGACTCCGTGGTGTCGATAACTGGGTTCTAGGGTAGGGATTCGTCTGGGCTGCGATCGGTGACGGGGAGAGGCTAGAGGCCGTCAGTGAGTGGTGCCCCGGAGTTTGCTAGGCTCCGGGGGTTCGGCAATTGGAGCCTCTATCGCCTTCTTAAGAAAGACGCGCTGGGTTTG